GATATCACCGTGATATGACTGTGATATCACCTTGATGTCACCATGATATCACCTCGATGTCACCGTGTGATATCACCGTAAGGTGGACATTTTTACATTTTCCTGATGTCACGGTGATATTCCGCGGTGATATCACCGTGACATCTGGTTGATATATCGTGCTACTTGGGTCAGTAGATTTCTGCGCATACTAATGCATATGCATTATAATGGAAATTTTGGATTATTGAACCAAATATAATAATTAAATTTAAGCAAACGACATTCTAAAAAAATAGCTAAATCACAAAAAATTTATTTTTAACGCCAAAATTACAATTCTCATTACAAAAAGAGATAACAGAAAAATTGGAATATCAAAGGAAATTTACCAGAAGGGCGCCAGATCTTTCTTCGATCAACTCAAAATTTTAAACAAAAATAATTCATAATAAAAATTAACTCGACTGGCTCTACGAAAAATAACGGAGAGGCGTGAATTCAAAAAATTAATCCATAATTATATTTACAAATAATCATTTATTCTATTGCGAAACAATTATTGGGGAATTTACAATATTTAAAGGAAGAAAGTGGTGACCATTACAAAATTTTCAATAATAAAAAGTGATTGACAATAGAAAGAAAGGGAAAAAATCAATAATTAGGGTAACCAATAATTAACTGTCTCTCTATGCTCAGTAATGGCCAAATCTTATCAAAAAATAGATTTACCACAACAAAAAAATCAGAAAATCTATACGAAAATTACAATGTTAAAGAAAAATTCAAGAGAAATTTGGTCACATGGTCAGGAATGAGGATCTCTTTTTAAGTTATCGGTAAAGCAAACAAAAAAATCGTATAAAATAATCGACTAGGCACACGGCAAGATGTTGAGATTATGTTAATTAATTAAAGAAAATGTTCATTGACAAGAAACAGAAGGTCACTAGACTAGTTTCTCTGTCAATAGGTTTTACGGCATCAGCCAAATCACAAAAAGGGGTAACAGATTAAGACCATCATTCCCTAACAGGTAACCATGAAATAAAAATAAAAATTACAATTTTCGTCGGGAAGTCCACCAGATATTAGGCTCTGTCACTTGTGACATCAGAGGCCTGGAGGGACAACAAACAGACGACAGAATGTTATTCTTATTGGGAAGAAAATTAGTTTCCACTTTCATCAATTTTATTCATACTTTAAACATGGAAAACGCTTGTTGACATATAACACAGTGCAACAGCATTTTTATTTCTGAGACCGCATAGGGTGATGCTTATAGATTTTTCGACGCTGAACACAAATCCGTAATCAGAATTGCTCCATCACCCTAGGTTTTCGAAAAATTTGACCTTGAAAATTGAAAATTTTAGGGTACTTTTTGATTTTTTATTACAGTACCAAAATTTTTTCTGAGGTTTTCAAGATATGCATATGAAAGCTGATATCCTCCTTAACATTTTCCAATTTTGATTTTTAAAAAATATCCTTTTTTGGATGAGCTATCCTGATTTGAAATTCGCGTTGCAACGAGAAACGGGATCACAGTGCAGGAGGCGTATAAAAAAATGGTCCAAAATCCAAATGTATTTTAAATCGCCATTAACTTGTTACTCGGGGGTTTTCGGGGTCGCTGCTTCCGAATTCAAAGTCCGTTTTTGAAAATTCAAAATGGCGGATTTAATATGGCGGACGACTTTTTCTAAACACGATCGAAATGGCCTGTAACTTGTTACTCGGTGGTTTTCGGGGTCGCTGATTACGAATTCGAGGTCCGTTTTTGAAAATTCAAAATGGCGAATCTAATATGGCGGACGACTTTTTCTAAACTCGATCGAAATGGCCTGTAACTTGTTACTTGGGGGTTTTTGGGGTCGCTGATTACGAATTCGAGGTGACTCGTGAAGCTCTGGTTTTTTCTCTGTCTCTCTTTAACAGTCTGGACTTACTGCTTTGCCTACTCCGAATTCGTAATCAGCGACCCCGAAAACCAACGAGTAACAAGTTACAGGTCATTTCGATCAAGTGTAGAAAAAGTCGTCCACCATATTAGATCCGCCATTTTGAATTTTTAAAAACGGACTTTGAATTCGTAATCAGCGACCCCGAAAACTCCCGAGTAACAAGTTACAGGCCATTTCGATCGAGTTTAGAAAAAATCGTCCGCCATATTGGATCCGCCATTTTAAATGTTCAAAAAGGGACCTCGAATTCGTAATCAGCGACCCCGAAAACCCATGAGTAACAAGTTACAGGCGATTTAAAATACATTTGGATTTTGGACCATTTTTTTATACGCCTCCTGCACTGTGATCCCGTTTCTCGTTGCAACGAGAATTTCAAATCAGGATAACTCATCCAAAAAAAGATATTTTTTAAAAATCAAAATTGGAAAATGTTAAGGAGGATATCAGCTTTCATATGCATATCATGAAAATTTTGGTCTCAGAAATAAAAAAAAATGAAAATCTGTTGCACAGTGTAATAAAATTAAAATGTGTGTTGATAATTGATTTTGTTATATATTTGATTCAATTGCATTGATAGATTCACTGAATTCATGATAAAATATAAATTTTGAGGTTAGGGGTGTTTGTTAACGAACTTGAAATCTTTTACTGCTGCGGTAATTGCCACTTAAAATATATATTTTATATCTTTTTTAATAACATGCATACTGGATATTCTTTAATAATGTTGTTAAAATGTAAAATGTGATTATTAAACAAACACCCCTAACCTCAAAAAAATTTTTTTTATCACGAATTGAGAGAATCTATCAATGCAATTGAATTAAATATATAACAAAATTAATTATCAACACACATTTTAATTTTATTATATGTCCTCAAGCGTTTTCCATGTTTAAAGTATGAATAAAATTGATGAAAGTGGAAACTAATTTTCTTCCCAATAAGAATAGTATTGTGTCGTCTGTTTGTTGTCCCTCCAAGCCTCTGACGTCATATCTTGAACATGAAATATCTCGATGAACTGACACAGCCTATTATTGCCTGAAGGGCCAAAGACAAAAGTCCTACCTTGATTTCCAGTGAATCACAATTTTTTACTATATTATGTTACTAATAAACTATAACAGTTCCAAACTCGGAGGATCGCCAGGAGAGAGTGTCGACAGCGTGGTTGATGTTGATATTGATCGAGGGCGTTGGAGATTGATGTTGTTTGCTCCATCAGTGACGTCGTTAGTATTGGCGACAGGGTGCTTTCCAGGATTCGTATTATATTTTATTATTCCCATGTGAAGTGGAGTTCTATCCTGATTTACAATTTAGTAAATTTTCGCTCCTGAATTCTTTGACTTCCAGAGGTTAAACCATTAGATTTATGACTTCTAAGGTAAACTACTTTACTTTAAATTTCAAAATGGCGAATCCAATATGGAGGACGAATTTTTAAAAAATTGTTGGATTTTTATGAAATTTGAAATAAACTCAACCTGGACCGTTGGCATTAGCATTACCGGATGAGGTTGATTTTATTTCAAGTTTCATAAAAGTCGAACAATTTTTTAAAAATTCGTCCTCCTTATTGGATCCGCCATTTTGAAATTTAAAAAACTGCCTCAGATTCTTTATCAGCGATCCCAAAAACTCCCGAGTAACAATTTTCAAGCCGATCCGCCATTTTGAAAAGATAACTTCAGATTCGTAATGAGCGTCCCCTAAAATTCCCAAGTAACAAATTCCATAAAAATCCAACAATTTTTAAAAAAAATTCTAAAATCATTAATTTTCAAAAAAATTGTCCACCATATTGGATCCGCTATTTTGAATTTTTAAAATCTGAATTAAGATTCGTGATCAGCGACTTCAAAAACCCTTAAACACCCAGTTTCATATAAATCCATCAATTTAAAATAAAATCGTATACCATCAAAAATGTAAAATGTTTTTTGAGGTTAGAAAAAACGTACACGTGCATGAACAAAACGGACTTCAGATTCGTGTTCAGCGGCCCAAAATACATGGGGGTAGGGTACTTTGATCTCCCAACCCGGGCACTTTTTTTTGTGTGGCTGTGTAATTAACCTACTTAAATAAATTTTCTAAATTTGAACGGGCGAATTCAATTTTGTGGCAATCGGATACCGGCGCTGTAAGTTCCCCCACTCCGCCGTTTGGAGCATAGCAAAAAAAAGAACTCCCTTTGACCATCAATATAAATAACAAAAAAACATTTTTACATTACTTATTATTTTTTATCCTATAGTACACAAATTTAACTTTATGTAGATACCGTGAATTTGAATAAAAAATATTAATAATTATACCAGCAGGAATTTTTTGAAAATAAAAAATTATCTTCCCCCCTTTAAGCTACATCGTTTTTCATTTTTTTGAAAGCTTTTTAAAGCAAAAAGAAAGTCAATGACTTTTATTTCAACTCGAGAGATTAAAAAATGGCCGAGTAATTGCAATTGTTTATAACTAAAGAAAGTACCTTTTTTGTATATCGATAATTATGCAATTAAATAGTAAAATTCGATTATTATTTTTATGTACATGATAGCATCACTCTTCAAGAGTAAAATGAAAAAAAATTGAATTCGCTTCATATCGTTCTGTAGAAATTACGTTGAAAAACAAAATGTTTTTAATTAACAAATGGAATAATTTATAAACTATTCATCCGATTAGGTTCGAAGTTTTTTCATTTTGCTTAGTGTCGTGAGGGGCACATTTTTATAAAGTTTCACTCTAATTGGATTAGTATTAACAAAGTTATTAAACAATTAAAAAAGTGCCATTTTTAATGGTTTAAATTCAGTAACTTTTAAACAAATTATCCAATTTTAACTTGCTACCCACCATTTTGTAGGTATTTTTAATACCTTTTTTCTAATCACAACTTTTTCCTCTAAAATGTAGAGGAAAGCAACGAGCACTTAAAAACTACCTTTCACCAACTTTGACCATTGTTTATAACAATTTATGCAACCGGAAATTTATTTATACTTAATTTATTTTTTGCGTTTTATTGTGATTTAGGCATCAAAAGAGGAATTATTTAAAAACTTAAATACTTGGCTTGTATTAAGTAAAAATTTAACACAAGCTTTAAAAGTTGTAAATGATACATCTTTTAGTATTACTACAGACTTTATGATTGGCATATTGGATTACAAGAAAATTCTGTTTTATGATGTTTATAATCATTGCAAATATCGTGGAGGAATTTTGAATGTGAGTTTTGCTGGAAATTGGAATAAAAACATTGGATTAAATATCTCAATAACAAAAGAGTCAATTTCAAGAAGATGGAATTTTCACGGAATGATTTTGAAAATGACAGGCCTTGTAAGGATATTAAATACATTAAGGGACACTTTCACCAACTCCAATTAAGACTTAATCACTGATTAATTCTCTAACCGACCAATTTAACCGCTTATGTTTGGTCGGTTAGAAATTTAATCACTGATTAACTCTTATTCGAAGTTGGTGAAACTGACCCTAAACAATATCAAACGATTTATTTGAATATTTTTGTAAGCTTCCAAAAATAACAATTTATGTCTGTATGTATTCTAGATAAATTATAGACCAAAAGATAAACAACTAGCTGAGTATTTACAGGATTATTCTACTAAAACACTAGATACGATAGGAAAGTTTGGATATGCTTTATGGTTACATGTTTCTGAAATATTTAACTTTACGTAAGTTACATTTAATGTTTAAATAAATCTTCAATGTACATATACCCACAACCCTTTTCTGTGATTACAAATAGCGCTGGTTTTTATTAATAATTAATGCTTCTTGCTATTTACAGAGAATAAAAAACTCTTACTGTTATTTATTGCAAATAAAATATCTCATTAAACGTTATATTGATTTCCAGTAAATAATTAAATAATAATAAATGTGTAAGACACCATCAACCGTATCATTTAGGAATATTTCACGATATTCTACGAACATTTTATAGGGACATCTGAAAGCCTATGGCAATTAAGATATGCATAGGATGTTCCAGGGGGTAAATTAGCTTTATATATATATATATATATACATATATATTCATATAAGTGACATTCTTAGAAAAAAGCAAAAAAAATTCTAGGATTGGCTTGATACTTTGGTGAATTGTTGTCATATATGAAAGTAACAAAATCTTTAAAAATAACCTTTTTTTAAATTATAAAAAATAGAGGGGATTGAAGTTTTGAGTTTTCAGCTAACACGGTTATGTTTTCGGTTTAATTAAACTGCTGAAATCGATAATAAAACGGTTCACTTTATTCTGCATAGAAAATTTTATATTTTAACATGGTTTAGTAGCTTATTAAGTCTCACCTGTCACACAAGTAGTATGTCTCAACTGTCATATTTCACACATGTCACACCAGCAGTATGTCTCACCTGTCTTATGTCACACTAATTGTAAGAGTATGTCTCTAAAAGTTCCAATGTGTTTTGAGTTGTTTGCTCTGGATTCTTTGTTGTTCAACAGTTGCTGTGAATAATACCCTCTTATTACCTGGATTTTATAAAAATTGTTAGATCTGCGTTTTCACTCTGCAATATTATAAAATTTTTCTGAATTCTTTAAAAATTTTAAATTTCATCTTACATTTATTTACAGCACTCTGAATTCTCAATCAGACAAAAAATAAAAAATGTTGATTCTTACATTGATTGTATTCTTCAGGATCAGACTCGTATATTTGACATCTGGTCCTTAAATATTCAGCATATGCCTCATTATGATCATCATCTGCATCCTCTGAATCCCATCTATTTACATTTGTCATCTGTTCCAGGATTGAAGAAACACTCTCTATTAGTATGGTTTATATTCAATATATATTTTGTTTTTATTTTTCGGAAATTATTTTAAAATCAACTCTGAATTTTATACTAAACTTTTACCTCAAAATTGAAATTTTCTCTTTTAATTTCCTTTCTTTAAATAATACCAGGTATCTCTAAAATTTTACTAAACAGAAAAGTGTTTCATGCATCTGAACCAAAACAATTGTACGGCGATTGTCTTAATCCGGAACGAAAAATCGAGTTTTCACACCGCACAAAACATACATGTACACCACTTGCCGTTATTTGACTCCGATTATTACAACGAAAATCAATTGGTTTTTGGTTGCACAAGCACATGCATGGGTCACGGATATACTACACTGAAAAAAGAATTTATTTGAATGAAATAAAAAGTATTTAATCCAAATACATCATTTACTTGTCTATTATCCAATAAATATGTATTTGAACCAAATACACATTTACTAGACATAAGTATTTTATTTTATCGTATCAAATAAATAGTTATTTGAATCAAATACAAAATATTCAAATCAAATAAATGGAATATTCAAAGCTAATAAATAATTATTTGCATCAATTATGAAAATTATTCCATTCAAATAAATATTTACTAGACATAAGTATTTTATTTTATCGTATCAAATAAATAGTTATTTGAATTAAATACAAAATATTCAAATCAAATAAACGAAATATTTGAGTGAAATAAATGAATGAATAGTTTTAAGTAACTCATTATTTGTATTAAATAAATTTATTAATTCAATTCAATTAATTATTTAATTGAACCAAATACGATTTATTTGGTTCAAATAAATGCATTTCAAATAATTCAAGTTATTTGAATCAAATACATATTTTTTTGATCCAAATAAAAAGTATTTGAACCAATTAAATATTTTTCGAATAATTTGAAGTATTTGAATCAAATAAATTTTTTTTTTCAGTGTACCGATTTCTCTAGTCGATAATCAAATTAATTACTGAACACAAGTATTAGTCTAATCATTGACCCCAGAACTTTGTAAACATGCTCAAAAAAAATTAATTTAATTATTAGTTATTTTTAAAAACTTAAAAATTTTTGAAATACAATCAAATAGCCAGTGATCAGAATCCGTCAGCAAGGCAGGTCAGAATTTGTCACCAAACCAAGAAAATATTCTCCACTTTTTTTTTTTTATTTTATAAAATTATTTTTAACTCTGTACATAAAATTCAATTCATTTACGAGCAGTTGTTTACATTCAGTCAGATTGAGTAACTTTTATTTCTATCTTATTTTTAATTATAACACTTCTCATTTTTATATATTAAATTAATGTTAGATATATTTATATAGATATACTATATTTTTTGCTGATTAAGATTTTTTGAAAACTAAGATAATGAAGTATACGACTTTATCAGCAAAGTGGCATCTATTAGATGTCATTTAAACTCCTTTGTTCAGAGTTAGGTGTTTAATGTGATAATTATATAGATATGGTTTGTCGTCAAATAATTATCAATTTTTGAATTAATTTTTGATCTGAAAAAATAAGCTGCGTGCTCGAGTTCACTGTGCATCTGCGAGGACTCGAACCACTTTAGTTGCTGCCTAACGCGGGACTTCTGCCACCTAAGGCGGTTCGAGTCCTCGCAGATGCACAGTGTACTCGAGCACGCAGCTTATTTTTTCAGATCAAAAATTAACTCAAAAATTGATAATTATTTGTCGAAAAACCAAATGGATATAATTATCACATGAAACACCTAACTCTGAACCAAGGAGTTTAAATGATATCTAATAGATGGCACTTTGCTGATAAAGTCGTATACTTCATTATCGTAATTTTCAAAATATAATTAAATTATCTAAATCTACATAACTTAATTAATTGTAATAACAACTCGAATTTTAAGGGGAGATTACGGTGATTCTTTTCAAAAAATCAAAATTATTTTTTTTTCATTTTTGGTTAGTATATCCATTTAAGAACACGGAAAAATTAGTTTAAAGTGTTTACAAGGTCTAGAACTGATATAAATTGAGTAGCAACAACTCACTGAGCGTGCGAACGCACACGTTTATTCCGGCCGCATAGCATTAAACCGCCAAGAGGCACTTACTGCTACTTCACTAGCAATAGATTACTTGAAAATGATCTTTTAGAAGCCAAAGAAAGATCTATGTATGTAGCCGGTATTGCCGATTGATTAAGAATCACTTCTTTGCTTAATTTAAAAAAAATCTTTGAAAAAAACCTCAAAATCACCGTAATCTCTCCATAATATCAATTATTATTATTTATATGTGTTTTATTCTCTTTATCTGTTTGTAATAATCTCTTAAAAATTTTGAAAATTCCGGCTGACTTCTCTGAACGGAAATCTATGTCTGTCATGCCGTGCACGCGCCGACATGTTTTACCTTCCCAGTAAAAAATAAAAGATACAAGAACGGCGATTTTTAATTTTTTTCACACTTTTATTTAAATAATTTTGGACTGCTTTTAAAATAGAAAATTTGAAAAAACCTTCGTTACATTAATATTCCACGTCGGTAAGGTAGAAAACCATATTTTCCGAAAAGCAAAATAAAATTACCAACAAAACACTGTTTTCACAAGGTTTTTAATGCAGAGGTTAGAATTAGTAAGAATAATTGTTTTTTGTTTAAATGTACGTTTCTTTAATAAATAATTATTTATTTCATTTTTATATTACGTGAATCGTTACCACAAACAACCTCTGCTACCATGTAGGATTAAGGGTTTTTATTATAATAAAATATATATGTGACCTGGACAGTTAAAAGGACCTTATGTCCGAAAAAATAGATTTTTACTTTTTTGATGATTCTTATTGAAAAAGATGTGCTCTTTTCAATGCATCAAACCGCGCATCTCCAGCTTCATTAGTCTTTTTACAAATGCGCTTCAAAGATGGACACAAATGGTTAAAAAATCGTAAAAAATTTAAGTAGAAAATAGGTGAATAAAAATTGATCAAATTAGTTTAAAACTCTTTAGTTGGGGGTTTATGAGGTCGCTGAATACAAATCTGGCATTAGATTTTCAAAATTTAAAATGTCGGATAACAAAATTAAAACTTGGCTGAATTTGCTTAAAACTTCTTACTCGGGGGGTTTTTCAGGTCGCTGATTACGAATTTGGCATCAGATTTTTAAACTAGTTTTAAGGGGAGCTAACGGTGATTTTGAAGTTTTTTTCAAAGATTTTTTTATCGTAAAAAAAATATTTATTAGTTACAATTTTTTTATGATAAAATACATATTTTAAAGAGTTGAAAACAATTTTTTTTTTAAACAATCTAATAAAAAATGGCTACCAAAAGTGGTACATTTTAAAGGCGCCGTCCCATGACAGCGTGAAACTCTGGCGTAAAGCGAAAAGCATGAGATCGAAAGAGATAATGAGATATCTTTATCTCTTTCGTTCTCCTGCTTTTCACTTTACACCGGAGTTTCACCCTGTCGTGGGACGGCGCCTTAAAAGTTTGGCACTTTTTTCTGGAACAGTTAATCTAAAATGAAAAAACCAACATTCTCTTAATCTGCACTATTTTGGCTTTCGTGTAAACTAGAATGAGAAATATTTATTATTGAAAAAGAAACGATTGGCAGACTTTTTTCATTTTTCGACAACAATTTTGCAACTTAAAATGTTTATAACTTTTAAAAATATTAATGGATTTTAAAAATCCTAGTTTACACAAAAACTACACATGCAAGGAACATACTTTCTAAATTTAAAGTTAATTGGTTGAATAGTTTTAAAATGAGAGTGTGACAAAGTTGAAAATGTGCTGTTTTGAGAAAAACGCGATTAAAGTTTTTTAAGTAGATATTAAACAAAAAAGTGATTCTTACTCAATCCACGATACCGTCTCGATACAAAAATCCTTCTTTGGCTTCTTAAAGATCATTTTTAAGTAATCTAATACCAGTCAAGTAGCAGTGAGTGCCTCTGAGTCATTCACTGATACCCGACCGGTATAAAAAAAATCACCGTAATCTCCCCTTAAGCAAATCCGATCAATTTTTAAATTTTTTCTGCCCTATTGGATCCGACATTTTGAATTTTTGAAATCTGATGATAAATTTGTAATCAGCGACCTCAATAACCCCCTGAATAACAAATTTCAAGCAAACCTAACTAATTTTTATTTTTGTCATCCGCCATATTGGATCTGCCATTTTGAATTTTAAAAATCTAATGCCAGATTCGTGATCAGCAACCTCAAAAATCCTCGAGTAGCATGTTTCATTTAAATTATTTAAACTTATAATATGTTTGTAGCGAATCCATATGATTCTTTCATTTTTTTGGGTGCCATATTGAATCCGCCATTTTTAATTTTAAAATCTGATGGTAGATTCGTAATCAGCGACCCCAAAAACCTCCGAGTAAAGAGTTTCAATTCATTTCAACGTGCAGGAACATTATTTTCGACCTGTCAACTTTAAAGTCGTTTTTATCGAAAACTTGATTTCGAACGTAAGGTCACTTTTAACTGTCCAAGTAAAATATACCAATCTATCACAAAGCTCTGAATATTTATTTATCAATGATGTTTCTCTTTCTGAATAAAAGAACGAACTGACTACTTGCTTTCTCTTCCGTTTGCGCGCTAAGCACACATAGTCAATGTAGAAGGGAAAACGGTCCCACGACTATACAACGCTACAGACTATCAACAAAGCTAATTCTTACAATTGAGGACCTTGATTCTATAAGGGGCTCTACGCTTGAGGCAGCCGCCTTGCGACAAGTCAGGTTCTCCAAAAATGGAAAAAATTTTAAAAACGCTATCCTGTAGGAAATAAAAATCTGCACCTTTTTTTCCTTTGAGATTTTTTATAAAACAAATATTAAAATTAATAGAGGCAAAAAAGTAAAAAAATTTTTTACGATAATTTAATGTACTTTGATACGATATTTTTGCATGCTCGAATGTAGGGCGAATTATATAATAAGAATGCCCCTGGAGAAACTCAACCGTGAGGTGTCATGGCTGCTGCTGAAGAAAAAGGAAAAATAGTTTTTTACTATTTTCCTTATAACTTCTTTATTTCTTAGAGAATTAATTCCAAACTTTTGGAACTTTTTTCGCGAGAAGTTTTTCCAGAATGAAAATTCCCTCGATAACTTTTTCATTAGAAGGTTGAAAAACACATATTTTAAAAATTAAAACTTTATTGTTATTTAATATAAAATAATAACAATTTTTTGAATTTTTTATTATTGTTGTCTTCAACAGTATAAACTGAATAAAATGCACAAATTTTCAAAGAAATCCATCAATATTTGGCGAAATTACGAGTTATGTTTTAAAAGTACATTAAATTATCGTAAAAATTTTTTTTACTTTTTTGCCTCTATTAATTTTAATATTTGTTTTATAAAAAATCTCAAAGGAAAAAAAGGTGCGGATTTTTATTTCCTACAGGATAGCGTTTTTAAAATTTTTTCCATTTTTGGAGAACCTGACTGGTCGCAAGGCGGCTGCCCGAAGCGTAGAGCCCCTTATAGAATCGGAGTCCTTAATTATATTGAAGCCGCCATATTGGATGTTCCAAAAGGTCACATAGTTTTCGAAAGTACTTATGTATACGAATAATTTCCGGGTATAAACAATAATATTAAAAGCTTTTAATTTTGCAGAGAAGGGTGGGCTGGTTAGCGCAAAACGTTCTACATGTATTAATTTTTTTTTAAATTTACATGTAGGAATTTACCACGGATTTTATAAAGGTTTTATTATGAATTATGATACGGGAACCCATGTAAGAATTTTCAGAAGTAGAAGCACTTTTACTTAGACCTGCACAAGAATATGTACAAAAACATGTTTATTTTCTTGTATAAGTTTTCACATAAAAACTTATTTTAAATTCTTGTACCAGAATTAGTACATTTTCTGGACCAGTACTGGTATGTTTTCTTGTACAATATCTTGTAAAGCGATTTTTAGTAGAGGCAAGTGCAACAAAACGATCTTCTCATTAGTCGAGCTTGATTGAACAATAATGAGCATAATTATTTTTGACAGCAGTTTTTCCGACAATCAGATCTGCTTTGGATTAGTTCTTAAACTCTTATGTGAAAAATCTATTTTTATTAGGGTTTAAGAACTGGTTCAAAGCAGAAATGAATTCATTGATTTTATAGCAAATTTAGGAAAAAATTGCACTTGTTTTATGGGAAATTTATTGTGAATTTCATAGATTTTAAGCAACACTAGTTTACTATAATCAGCGATACTTGAAATTTTAAACCTGTGTTCCTTATTATTAATAATTAATAATTATAGAATTGAGGCTGGAGAGTTTACTGAATGGATGCCTAATGATACAAATGGCCCAATGATAAGCGCACTAGGTAGAAGAGAGATAGATTTAGCAGGAATACCTGCATCAGTGACAGACGATAGATTAAATTATGTTTTTCCTCCAGCAACTCCATGGTTATTCAGGTAAAATAAATTAATATTTTTAATAGTAGCAATAGCAAAGTGTACACAGTTTGGTCCTCCTTTTATCAATAAAATTAATATATTTTTAGCTTAACTGAACTTTTATTTCAAAGAATTTTTATGTCAGATACTTTACTACGCTAAATTATTAATTACTCTCTAAATCTGAATTAGTAAAAATGTTTACTAATTTGAATTAGTGACTCACTTTTTGCTTCTAAATTAGTGAGATTTTACTAATTTACTAAAACATTTTTACTAATTCAGATTTAGAGAGTAACGCAATTTTTATTTGCTTTCATGTACAACATTTAAATTAAATCCAATTTTAAATCTACTATATTTTATTGTATAGTTTCATCGTAGAGGAATCATTGTATTATCAAAATTTTTCGGACTCGATTTTTTTATGTATAAGTAGTAGGGATGACTTTAGCCCTTAACGATACCTAGTTTAGAAGAGAGGTAACTTAAAGGGTAAGTCCTTGTTAGGCAGCCCCATCCACACTGAAATTGAAATTTCGGAAAATTTTTAACAGTACACTGGAAAACAGGAAAATAATAAATTCTTTTCCTTTAGGGTAATTGATAATTGGCTAGAAATACACAAACCAAAACTTTTTTTGAGTTAAAATAATAAAAAAGAATTAATGTCGATAAATTAAATATAATCACTGTTTTACGAAAACTAAAAAAAATTAAAATTTTCTGAATTCAATATTTCACATTTAAATATTGTATTTTTGATATTTTCATCTCCTTACTATTCCAACCATATCTTATTTGTATGTTGAAACTTAAAATTCATACCAACTAACAAAAAAATCTTTTTTGTAAAATTAATCTTTAACATCCGAGATCTTTTATAAAATTAAGTGAATAAAAACGAAAACATTCGGACAAAAAATAAAAATATATTTACTCCAACGTTTCGAAATCTAATTGATTTCCTCTTCAAGGAGTCTATCAAAAATTATAGAAATGAAATAATAAATAACAAAAGATTAACGAGATAATTTTATCGTTTGGTGATTGATAATAAAAAATCTAAATCTTTAAAATTTCTATTGGAATCGTTTGGTGGTTGTTAGGTGGCGGATCATCTAGTTCCACACTTACGCCTTTTAGCTGTATAATCGAGAATATCCTGAAGCTGAATAGTTGCACTGAATTCTGTAACTTTGATTATAGTGTGTAACCAATGACTTTTTAATGATGCTGAATGTTGAAAAAAAATCAATTAATTAAATCAAAGTTACAAAGGGAAGACTTGAATAAATTGTTTGTTGGGTGCCAGTCTTTTCTTGGGACAAAAATAAACAAGTTGTAAATTCAGATGTTCATTACATGAACATTTTGCTTCCTCTTTACGATCAGCAAAAAAATTTGCTTCCTCGTGGAGAAAGTATTAACATTGAAATAAACATACAAAAATAATATAATAATGTAAACATTTGAGTACTTATAAATTTGAGTTAAATTTAAAGAATTAATGGAAGTTAAAAAGTCAAAAATTCCCATTTTAGCTGAAATTTCTAAAAATTAATGAAAAATAATATATAAATTATAATTATTTACAATTATATCGGTTTGTTTCAATGCAAGGAACACAATTATTTCATATTTAAACTTGAATTTAAATAAATACAAAATTTTTTAGCTAAAATTGGAATTTTGTTTTAACTTTCTTTAATTTATTAAATTTACCTCAAATGTATACTTTATATACACCAATCGATTTGTTTTCATGCAAGGAATACAATTATTTTATATATTAACTTCAATTTAAATAATCACAAAATTTTATAGCCAAAATGTGAATTAAAACTATACTTTATATATACCGATCGATTTGTCTTGACCATGAAGTAAGAATAAGGAGACTTCACTCTAATGTCAAGTCTGTCCCCATTCTCTATAACATCATTCCGGAAAATTCGAATGGGCAGAGGTGGCGTTCCTTGCGGGAAAAACACGAAACTGTCGATTTTAACCTTATAAATTCGTCTGCTACTACTATAATAAACACCAAATGAGTGCTATGATAATACCCATTTTTGACATTTTAAATAATATTTTTAATTGATTGTAAAATTTTATTTTATAATAATTTAAATTATTACAATTTTTTGTAATTGTAATTACAATTGATTAAATTGTTTATAAAAAGAAGAATGTTTTTGTTTCTTTTATTTTAAAGAATACGATCGCTATCATGAATCAAAGTAATTCCCAAGTAAGTATTTGCTATAAATTCTTAATAATATATAATATAATATGCATATAATAATATAATATTTATATATATATATATTATAATAATATAATAATTTTTATAAAAATTAAAATATATAATTAACAATATTATTTTTCTTTAAACAGATAACCGTAGGATTCAATACATTAAACGGAATTACCTTAATTAATTATGATAAGGAATTAACTTTTGCAGAGTTAAGAAATTGTTTGGACTATATTCCACTGCCTTGTGAAAACTGGTGTTTCACAAAAGGAAGTGACTACTTTTTTGGATTTCAAAGAGTTGAAAACAACTTTGACATTAGAAAAAGAGTTGCAGTTTTTTATAATATGAAGGTAAAAATTTATATAGATGATATAATTATGTCATTTTCATCAGAAATAAAGATATTAACAATTAATGATTTAAATAAACTTTTGAAAACTGTTGATAAATTAAAATTATAGGACTCTATACAATATTGACTTATTGTAATTGTAATCAAAATTTTTTTAATTTAATACATTTTTGATTAAATAAATCAAATGCAAAAATTTATCATGTTTATTTTTTATCCTTCTTTTATATCAAAAGTTTAAATATTTTAAAAATTTAATGTTTAATGCACAAGGTAATAGGCTTGAAACAAATAAAAGCAAGTTAGTAATGTCTTCTACATTATTTACAAACTGCCACTGCTCTAGAAATATTTCCTTATTTTTTACAAAAACCTAGAAATAATTATTTTTTAAAAATGAAAACAAAATATATATTAATAATATTAAAGTATTTTTATTATTAATTTTTTTGATTACAGGACAAAAAATCCAATCAAAAAAATGCTAACCGAAAATTAAACGAAAAAATTCCAAAATACAAAAATCGAAAATAAAAATGTTTAAAGTCAAAAAATCCACAAAATAAAGTCCAGAGTTAAATTATTTTTTTGGGATTTCATTTACAGTCAACTTTTTAGTTTGGATTTTTGTATTGGGAATTTTTGTCCGGATAACAATTTTTTCAATACCTCTATGGACGTAGCGATTCAAAGCTACATTCACTTTAAAAAATTTTCTAGCTATCGGGTGACTTAAAAAAATGGTATCATTTTGATATATTTAGGTTGGTACAATTGTTTTTCTGTGTATTTTTTTTCTCATATTTGCTTTATTTTATAATTTAACAATTTTTTTTAGAATCAAGAATGTTTCAAATTCATAAGGATTTCCCACGATGAAGAAATGAAGCAATTAAAAGAAATATCTAATTTAATTAAAAAAATAATTTAATTTAAAAAATTTATCAATTTTTAAATTTAGGCTGGTAAAGTAAAGCTTGGCAGGAGAGAAGTAGGGGCAATGTTGTCAACTTAAGGAGAGACTGTGTTTGGATAAATGGAGTGAAATGGTGGATAGAAGGGGATGAGTGGATACAGGCAGGGGTAGGTAGGGATGAGGGGTTTGGAGAAATAAGGCAGGAGAAAGAACAGGAGGAGATAGACAAAGAAAAGGAAGAGTAGGAGGGAGAAGAAGGACGGGAAACAAGGAGGAAGAAGGTCAATAAAAATAGGATATTGGAATATTGGAGGTTGGAAAAATAAAGATGAAGGATTTTGGAAGACGCTAGAGAAATGGGAAGTTATATTTCTAATGGAAACGTGGGTAGAAAGTAAGGATTGGAGAAGAATGAAAGGAAAGTTACCAAGAGGATATAAGTGGAAAATGCAAGGGGCAAAAAGGACGTATGATATTGGAAGAAGCGCGGGGGGAATGATCTCTGGGGTGAAGGTGGGGATTAACGAGGGTAGGGGAATTGGAGGTATGAATGAAACAGATGGTTGTATGGTGAGAACTTTGAAAATTGGAAGAGAGAAAGTCGACGTGGTGGGGGTATATAGAAGAAGAGGAGAAGATGAAGGATGGGCGAACGTAGAAGAATGGATGGATATAGGAAGGGATAGAATGGTGCTAATTGGAGGGGATCTGAATGCATGGACGGGGGAATTAGGAGGAGGAGAATGGAATGAGGAAACGAAAAAGTATGAAAGGGTATCTAAACATAAGGAAGTGGATGCAGATGGAAGAAGATTGATTGAGATGTTAGAGGAGAGAGGATGGATGATATGCAATGGTAATACAAAGGGAGACGAGGGAGGGGAGTTCACGTTTGGTAAAAAGGGGGATACGGTGATCGACTATGTATTGGCTGAAGAAAAGATGAGAGAAAGGATAAGAAGAATGGAAGTAGGGAGAGAGACTGGGGCAGATCATTTCCCGGTGATAGTGGAAGTAGAAGGGATAAGCAGAAGGAAAAATGTCAGGGAGTGGAAGGAAAAAGAGGAGAAAATAAAAATGGGAAAGTGGGAAGTGGAAAAACTAATGGAGTTTGAAAGGAGAGTGCAGGATGAATGGACGAGGGGTAGTGAGAGTGAAAGTATAGATGAGAGAATTGCGAGAATGAAGAATAATATAGAAAGGTTAAGGAATGAATTGGGACAAGAAGGTAAAGAAAAAACAAAAAGAAAGGGATGGTGGGATGAAGAGTGTGAACGGAGTAAAGAATGGATGAGAGAGAATATCAAGGAATGGAGAGAAGGACGGATTAATAGATTGGAATATAAGAGACGGCAGAAGGAACACGAACATCTGATTGGAAAGAAAAATGAGGAAGAGAAGAAGAGGTTCATAGAGGAAGTAGAGAAAGCGGTGAGAGAAGGAAGAGAGTGGGAGGTAATTAATAGAGAGAGGAAGAGAAGAGAGAT